CCCCATCCCTCACTCCCCTGATCTGTAGGCTGTCTCTGTCCCCCCCATCCCTCACTCCCCTGATCTGTAGGCTGTCTCTGGCTGCATGTGTTGCTCCCCTGCGGTTTCAATCAGCAGAGAGAAGCAGGGATAAGATGCAGCTTCCTATCCCTGTCTCTCTCCTTACACAGCGCCGGTATTGCAATTCCTTTTAAATCTCACACGAAAAATATCAGAACAGGCTGAAAAATCCAGGGGGGGGCAAGTGCCCCCCTTTGCCCCCCCCTGCGGACGCCCATGCTGCTAAGCCTCTATTACAGGTGAAGATAGGTGTCACTAGGACTGTTGTTGGGTCTAGGGGTGCCACACTTGGCTAAGGAGTTGCTTATGTTGGCCGGCTAATGACACAATCGTGGGTGGGGGGTATTAGTATGCAGTCGGGTGACCGCTCTTAGGAAGTGTGGATGAGTTGCTGTGTCGAGAGTTAATCTTACTGTGTGGAATAGACAGAAAGAACATATATGCATAACTTAGTATAACTTTGTATAACTGAGGAAAGTAGGTATAGCATGTCTCAGTCGGGGGTTCAGGTTGTACGGGTTGGTGTTTTTAACACTATAGGGTCAGGAATACATGTTTGTGTTCCTGACTCTATAGTGTTCCTTTAAGTATTATTGCTTTTTAATGCAACAAGGTTGTTTTTATTTTTTTTTATTAACATGCCAAGTTTCCAGCCAAGGCAGCTGGAAGACAAGAGGTTAATTTGTATACCACTTCTTATAATTCACAGGAAACACTAATATGTGATGGATATTAAAATCTGCATGAACACATCTGAATGTCCCCAAAGAAAACAGTGTTTGAGTGATACTAATTTTTCATTCAGGATTTCTCAAAAACTTTAAAAAACTCTTTTATCACGTCTCATTAGTTACAAACAGATGTGATAAAAAGTAGTTACAGCTAAAAAGAAGAGTGGTAAGAGTTAACAGGGACTGAACAAAAATGCATTCGATTCAGATTCATGAACATGAGTGATTTTCATATGTTTTGCTGATTGAAAAATTACCCTCTTGGAATTATTATTATTATTATTATTTTATTATTTATAAAGCGCCAACAAATTCTGTAGCGCTGTACAATGGGTGGACTAACAGACACATAATTGAGATCAGACCACTGGACAGGAACAGAGGGGGTTGAGGGCCCTGCTCGATGAGCTTACATGCTAGAGGGAGTGGGGTATAGTGACACAAAGGGCACAGGGGTCTCGACGGGACATACTTGTGTAAGAGGGAGAATAGGTATGTTGGAGCAGCATTATGTAGGGATTTGTAAGCAAGCGCCAGAATTTTGAATTGGGCCCTATATCTAACTGGAAGCCAATGCAGGGACTGCCAGAGAGTGGAGGCGTGGGAGGTGCGACTGGACAGGAAAATAAGCCTCGCAGCCGTATTCATTATAGATTGCAGCGGTGCAAGCTGGGAACATGTAAGACCGGTGAGAAGGGGATTGCAATAGTTAAGGCGAGAGAGAACAGCAGCATGAACCCGTACCTTAGCCGCGTCCGGCGTTAGATATGGGCGGATGCGCGCTATGTTCTTGAGTTGGAAGCGTCAGGATTTGGCTATCGATTGGACATGGGGAGTAAAAGAGAGGTCAGAATCAAAAAGAACCCCTAGGCAGTAGTAGCCTGCGCGGTAGAGGTGATAGTAGCGCCGTTGACTTGGATGGAGACAGACACAGGAGTAGCAACACTTGAGGGAGGAAATACTAGAAGTTGGAATAAGTTAGAATTGGGGTTGAAGGCAAATATGTATCACAGGAAAACCTACAAAAACTGCCGAGTATTATAATGTCTGCTCGAACCTACAATTCCAAAGGAGTGTTTGCAAAACTATCTGAAATACATGCTAAGAGAGAAATTGCTGCTTTTATGGAGACACTGAATGGCTCACCTTGATAAATAAACAGAGAATCTAACAAAGTCACCATTGTTTGTATAATACTTCAAATTGAACATTTAGTATTTTTAGTTTTTATTTATTTTATTTGTTAGAAACATTTTTGTTTTTGAATTTCTATGACAGCACCGAGGAGGGGAAATGGTTACTGTGTGCATTTTGCAAACTTGCAATTCAAATAAATCAGACGAAATGAAAAGGACGCGGGAGTCAGCAGGATATTGTGCTGAACACAAAAAGGGATTATGAACAAAAAAAAACACAAACACTTTCTGCTAACATGACGGATAAGAATCTAACTGAGCAATTCTAAGGTTTGCTTTCGGAATATAAAAGGTGGGAGTCAATCACACTCTAGGGGCAATGTATATAAATACAGCTTCATGCTGGATAGGGTACGCACCAGACACAATACGCTCGGGTGGTTAGGTCACTGAACACTCTTAAAATAAACACTGTAAAAAAAACATTATTATGGGTTAAGAAAAAGTTATTTTTCACAGTATTCTTGATATAAACTACACAGGCTGTGTGCCACCTTTCAAATGCTGAAAGAAATAGTAAAGAAAAAATATAAAGTGGATCGAAATCATGTTTATATTTGTCAATAGTTATTTAAGGTCATGCTAAAAATGTTGCCAGGGTGCCCCTGTTGAAGTATTAACAGGTATCTGAGTGTGAGCAAGCCTTGGAGGACCCTGGGAAAGCTGGGACATTGAAGACACTGGAATGGGTATAGGGCACAAATCTATTTGCTTTCCTATGGGGTGAGGACTAATGCGAGCGTGGTCATTGCTGACATCGATGGGGAGGAGCGGATGCTGAGCCCAAGCTAGCACTGAGGAACATTGGTGCTGGTCTTGGTAAGTCACAGAAGGTTTTTTTTTATCTGCACCAATGAAAGAGGGGGAAGGGTTTAACTTAGGGGGGGTCTATTTGGAGCAATTGTGCCAGGAAAACAATTTTGTTTTCCTGGCACTGTAGTTTCCCTTTAATTATCATTGCATAGCTGGTTTATAAGACTTTTTTTTTTTTTTTACATGCCAATATATCATTGGTCCTTAAGAGGCTATAGTTCTTTTTGTTGAACTTTATAATTTGAAATTTTTTAATTACATACATATTCTTAAAT